CCACGGCAGGAGAGAGCCAGCTCTTCCCGGTCATCCAGAGCAACAACAGCTTCTACACCATCACTGACCTCATCACCGTCCCGGCCACCAGCGTGGAGGACACCACCTTCCAGTGTAGGGTGCAGCACAGCACCACCAATACCAACGTCGTGAAGGACATCACAGGTGAGGGGAGGGCGCCCAGGCTCGCGCGGTGGGGTGGGGGACAACTGGGTGGGTTGGGGTTGGTCCCAGCCTTGTCTGACATCTTGGTGGCCACCTAGGTGGACATTGGTGGACACCTAGAGGGGTTGGCGTTGACCCCAGGCTTGCATGGTGGCTTGGTGGACACCTAGGTGGACACCTAGATGAGTTGGGGTTGATCCCAGCCTCACACGACATCTTGGTGAACACCTAGATAGATGTTGGTGGACACCTAGGTGGGTTGCCGTTGACCCCAGGCTTGCATGGTGGCTTGGTGGACACCTAGATGGATGTTGGTGGACATCTAGATGTGTTGACTTTGATCCCAGCCTTGTGTGACGTCTTGGTGGACACCGAGATGGAGCTTGGTGGACACCTAGATGGGTTGGTGTTGATCCCAGGCCTGTGTGGGGGCTTGGTGGACACCTAGGTGGGTCTTGGTGACATCTTGGTGGAGCTTGGTGGCCACCTAGATGGGTTGGTGTTGATCCCATAATGCCCTGGTCACCTCTTCTCCCTGATCTCATCGCTCTGCAGATGTTTGTCACGTTCCCCCACCGGTGGTCAAGCTCCTGAGTGACCCCAACCAGGACCAACCTTCCGAAAACGTCCTCCTGCTCTGCCTGGTGGAAGGGAAGCCCCCTGCCGATGCCACGGTGCAATGGCTGATCAACGGCGAGGAGCAGGCCCTGCAGCAGGAGGTCACCACATGTGACAAGTGCTCCACCAACCAGGCCGTATTGACCAGCCAGGTCTATGTCAGCCGGCAGAGCTGGGACCTCGGGGCCACCTTCTCCTGCAAAGTGACCTCCCCCTCGCTGAAGGTCCCCATCGTCGCCGACATCAGCACCTTCTGCACAGGTGAGGGGTTGAGGAAGCCCTGGTGGCTTGGAGGCCGTGGATGGGTGGAAGGTGGAGAAGGTTTGGGGTGGCTGGTTGGCTCCACGGAGAGCAGGGACGGGACAGGTGGTTGGGCGGCTGTGGGATGCGTAGATGCGGCGGGGTGGATGGTTGCGTGGTGGTTTGGTGGACACCTAGATGGACGTCGGCGTGTCTCCCAGCCTTGCGTGGTGGCTTGGTGGACACCTAGATGGGTCTTGATGGACACCTAAAAGATCTCAGTGGACTCCCGGATGGGTTGGCGTTGCTCCCAGCCTTGCGTGACGTCTTGGTGGACACCTAGGTAGAGCTTGGTGGACACCTAGATGGGTTGGTGTTGATCCCAGGCTTGTGTGATGGCTTGGTGGACACCTAGATGGACCTTGGTGGACACCTAGATGGGTTGGTTGCCTGGAAGGACAGTTGGCTGATAGAAAACCACCTGGTTGATGGGATGGAGAAGGTCGAGATGGCTGGATGGAAGGTTGGGAGGAAGGGCTGGGAGGTGGGCAGGTGGTTGAAGGACCTAGAGATGGAGGAGTTGATGGACGAACCATCTGGTTGGGCTAAAAAACCTCCGAAAAAGTCAACGTCCACCCGCTCAACGCCGCTCCCTCCCCCCCACCCCGAGCAGATCAACTGTCGGTGGAGGTCACGATCATCCCCCCGTCCTTGGAGGACCTCTACCTCAGCCAGAACGCCAACCTCACCTGCGTGGCCACCAACCTGAAGTCTTCCAACAACGTCAAGTTCACCTGGGGCCGGAGTACGGGTGGGGCGTTGGACGGGGTTACGGAGTCACCAGAGAAGTTGGAGAACGGCCTCTACCGTGCCACCAGCGTCCTGAACCTCTGCGCCGACGAGTGGAACTCGGGCGAGACCTTCACCTGCTCTGTCTTCATCCCCGAGATCGGTGAACCCATCCAGAGGTCCACCAAGAAAGATCTAGGTAGGCGCCCACACCTTCTCTCCTGTCCCACCGGAAGGGTCTTCTCCACTGGAGAGGTCAACTGGGAGGGTCTACTGGAAGGGTTTGGTCTACTGGAAGGAAGTTGTCCACTGGAAGGGTCTTCTCCACTGGTGAGGCCAACTGGGAGGGTCTACTGGAAGGGTCTAGCCAACTGGAAGGATCTAGCCAACTGGAAGGGTCTAGCCGACTGGAAGTGTCTAGCCAACTGGGTGAGCCAGCTGGGCCGGCCTACTGGAAGGGGCTAGCCAACTGGGAGGGGCTA